CTAAGAAAGAAGAAAAATACCGTTAACTCAATCTTTTTGTAGACAGCCACTTTCTCCAGAGGAGAGTAGCGACCAAAATCTTATCGTAAATTGAAATTGCACACCCGTAACTATATGTATATAGAGATTTAAAAGCTCAAATTTCGTCGAGTGTAGGTTTGATCACTTTCATGATAATAATGGAGATTCCGCGCGCCGAGCCCTATTGAAATTAGAAATAAGAAACCTATGAATACAAGAAAATTTGGTTAAAACGTACAAACAATACATGTAAGAAACCTTTGAGCGATTTCTTCTATACCAAGAATGATGAAGCTACCTTTTTCATCGTAAATATAGACTTTTTGGGGCAAAATTGGGTATTGCTGTACGTGAATGAAAACACAGAACGCTCAGCTGAGTCGCTCGTCATGCTATATATTCACTTTCCTCTGTCTTTCCTTGATACACCTATTGCAACTTAAGCAAATTGTTAAAGTACAATAAGTATCAACTCACCAAACGTCGATTACAAGAAAAACTCGAAGGTTTCTTCAGAGTCTCTTATAATAAGAAAAGGTGGCTCATTGAATACCGAATAGTTACGAAATATCAGGGTTTTCATCATTGTGGTACATGGTTGCATCATCATAATTCAGTTTTTAACTCTGACGATTTAATTCTTAAAAGCTATTGCTTGTTAAAAACAAGAGCCTTTACTTAAGGCATTGGTTACAAAACCAAACAGGTCTTCATACGTTCAAGCAGATGTACAGTCAAACAAACAGCCGGCACGTGAAACTGTAGTAATTTGCCCCCTTTCGTGGTTCGTACGTGAAGGAATTCGAGTTATCATACGTTATTATTCATTCAAAATATTTCCCTAATTCTGATTGGCTAAAAGCACACGCATAATTCACCGTAACCAGTTACAGGTGACCAAATTTGGAATAATTTTGTGTTTAACGAGGAAATGACGTCAAAAATGTAGCCCGCTACAGCTGAAGGCAACATTACCGAGAAGACCTGGGGACCAGGTTGATTGTTTTGGTTCTGAAGAACAAATGGCGGACATTTCACTCGTTTCAAGAGTAAAAACTACAGCTGGAACTACGCGAAATAATAGCTAAAAACATGGCAAAAGCAGCAAGAAGACAATGTCGGAGGGCGACATCTGCTATTTTGAGAATATTTGCGGGGCTGGACAAACTTAAACGAACACTATCGAAGTTGAACTTAACATCGATGCAGGTAAGCATGTTTTAGCTATGTTTTTAAACTAGTAATTATTTTGAATGAATAATAAAGCAATTAATGAATTCGACTTTCGTAGGATATGAAGAATTAAGCAGATCTCGGAGGGTGTTATCTATAACACCCTCCTCGATCTGCTTAATTCTTCATATCCTACTCAGCCTCATTCATTAATTTCTAATTAATTTAGTTAACAGGATTATAGCGGAGCTCCACGCGCAGGGCGAAGCGCCGCGCAAGAGCGGAGCCCCATAGCTAAGTAAATCTACCCATCCGAGAAACTTTGGTAATCACGTGACCGTACACCGACCGACCGCCGACCATCCGTCCACACCACAGGCAAACCAATGTTTACTCTTACACTTTCTAGCTACAACAAAGGGCCAAAACGTCTTGGGACACTTGAGGAAATTAGGCACAAAGACGCACTTTGCTAAATGAACTCATACTCTACCTCTTAAAACAGCTTGGGGATGATGTTATAAGGGGCTATATCTGCTGTCCCCCTCTCCCCCAAGCAGTGCTGATTGTGTTGAATTAAACCTTAAATGCATAACGTCAACATTGTGCTGAGGGGGAAGGGGCGAGGGAAGATGCCTCAATTTGACGAGCTATTGCGTTAGTGTCCCAAGAGTTTTGACCAGGGTTGTAGTTTGGGAGCCCAAGAACTAATTGCACATCAATATTGTGACCAAATGACAGTTGTCAAAACAGAGCATCCGCAGACCAGTATCAGCTGACCGTACCGCGGGCTCAAGTGTCGACCCATCGAGCTCGCGTATTTTTTTGAAGTTATCCGCTACCAAAATTACCAGTTTCAAATGATCGCAGGCTCAACGTTATTTTTTCCAATGATTCATATCAAATATTTAACAATTAATGAATGAGGCTGAGTATCTTATGGAGAATTATGGAGATCGAGGAGGGTGTTATACGTTTTATTATTCATTCAAAATAATTCCTAGTTTAAAAACATGGCTAAAACATGCTTACCTCCATCGATCCATCGATGTTCAGTTCATCTTCGATAACGCGCGTTTAGGTTTGTCCAGCTCCGCAAATATTCTCCAAATAGCAGATGTCGCCCTTCGAGTTGTCTTCTTGCTGTTCTTGCCATGCTTTTAGCTATTTTTTCGCCTAGTTCTTACTCTTGAAACGAGTGAAACGACCGACATTTTTGTTTCCCCAACCAAAACAACTCAACTTCATCCCCAGGTCTTCTCGGTTAACGGTGCTTTAACCCGCACGAACGCTGCATTTTTGACGTCATTTCCTCGTTAAACACAAAATTCTTCCAAATTTGGTCATCAGTAACTGGTTATGGTGAATTAAACGTGTGCTTTTAGCCAATCAGAATCGGGGAAATATTTTGAATGAATAATAAGTTGTGTTTATGTCACTATGGCCCCGCACTATTAGGATTTTGATTTCAAACTGACCTCGGACGCTAAAATTCAGCCAGTTTTTTTAAAGTATAGGCGGGGAAAACCTTTTCTTACCATGGTCACGCGTTGGTCACGCTCTACGTCCAATTTTTATGCTCTGATTGGTCAAAATTTGACAGGTGAGTTCAAGCGGAAAATTTATGCTGCATCTTGAAAGTTGTTTACTTTGACAGCTGAAGCGGCTTGTACTAAAATATGGAACGCCGGAATGCCGGAATGCCGGAACGCCGGAATACTAAAACCCGGAACACAAAATTACTAAAACCCGGAACGCATGAAAAATATATATTTTATATTAATATATATTCGTTTTCGTCTTTTCACCTTGCTCTAATGCGTAAGAGGGTTTAAAAGTCTCAAGCAACTGTGGCCTTCCTTGATAGCTTTCAGGAACTGAATCTCGAATGGTAAGCCTGAGTCATTATTGTATTTGATGTTTGTTTTTGTTATATCTAATTTCATGAAGTCGAGCGCAGTTCACGCTGACAGTTTATGCGGCAAGTTTATGCACGTTTGTAGGATTTGAGTCAATGATCTGACCTAGTATCAGGTTTGATATAAGCTTACAGAACTTTAAAAGGACTTCAGATGTATTTGCTCACCGCAAATAGAAAGAAAAAGTTCCGAAGAATGTTTAGTTATAAATTTGGCTGTAGAAAGAAACCTTTGAGCGATTTTCTTGCTTCGAGGCGTTCACCTTCGAAAACAGTAAACACCGCGCCGGGAAGCCGGCTTAAAACATAACAGAAGAAGACGGCGGAAATGTCGGGTGAGGACAAAACATGGACCAGGGGTCCATGGACCCCCACTTTGGACCGGGTCCATGGACCACTTTCATGGACCGGGTCCATGGACCCCCTGTCATGGACCAGGTCCATGGACAATCAAAAACAGAAATATTCCCAAAATAGATTTGACGAGACACTGTCGACCAATGCTCACGATTGATCACAAATATTTAGTTGTGCTTACATGACGTACACTCTGCTTGCACATGTGCAGTCGCAAGACTGTTAAATTAAGCTAATTCAAAAGTTATCACTGTGATGAACAATGAACATTCAATCAAAGAGAACTTGATTACGTGATTAAGCTTAGTTTTGTTCTGATTTAGATAAGATACGTTTCTGTTCTGTTTCATTTATCGAGTTTTTACGCCCCTATTTTCATGTGCCATTGTTCACAGTTTGAATCAATTAAGTAGCTAGCCATTCCTGTTTTCTAACCGGTTTTACAACTGTACAGGTGAATTGTACTCTTATCAGAGAACGCCCCTTTAGTTTTTGTGGAGTTGGAGTTAGGAGATCTACGGAGCAACGTCGGAGTTTTCAGAGCGGTTTTACCTTTTTCGGAGTTACGTAACGTCGGAGTTTCTCTAGCCCTTAAGACAGGATCAGACGTAAGTTTCAGCTTATTGTATTTAGTTTTAGTTTTCCTTTCAATTTTGCTTTTTTTGTAATTAGCCTCAGCCCCTTTTTTGATCTTGTACATTGTAATTTCCCCTTTTAGTTTTCACCGCATGTGTACAATAATTCAGACGAGTTGGTCATCTTAGTGTTATGCAATCAGTAGAAGGGCTAAGTGATGACAGCCATATTGATACTTTAGCGCGTGACCTTACACTCGCCTCAGAGGAGTTTGGAAGATTGTTGCAGGAGTTAATTGGCTTGTACGAACAAGATTCACGCGGCGATTACTTAGAAGAGGCTCAACTTAGTGAAGAGAACGAGACCCTTAACCGAGCCCTCTTACTTTTAGACAGTCTAAAGAATAGAATTACTAGACAATCCAACAAATTGTTGGAGACAAGATCTGTGTGTTCTCGTCGTTCCTCGCGCCATTCATCAGCCTCCAAAACTAGCAGCACTACCGCTAGATTGCAAGCGCTAGCCGACGCTAAAGCGGTAAGAGAAGAAGCTCAGTACACGCGGCTAATAGCACAAAAAAAACTTGAGCGCAGGACACGCGAAGCAGAAGCGCAGAAAATTCGACAACAGGAGATAGCGCAGTACGAAAAGGAGATCGCGATTCTCGGAGCAGACAAAAAGGCCGCGATGGCGAACGCTAAACTTAAAGTTTTCGAGGAAGCTCTTCTAGAAGAAGAACATGAAAAAGATTTTGAATTACCAGAGTTAGAAGTTCCCAAAATTAAAGCAGATGAGAGGACTTCCCAGTGGGTACATTCCAACCCCCTACCCACGGGAAAGGTATCACGTTCCGAGCGAAATCACGAGCCGTTAAGCACGCCAGAACAAATAAAGCTTCCATTGCGCCCCACACTCAAAGAAAATCGGAAAAAACGGACCTCCTCCCTGAACTTCA